CATCACGATAGATGGAGAAAAGACTCAAACTGTCAGTGACTTCATCTTACTTGGATCTACAGTCAATATATGTGGTTCCAGCAGTCAGAAAATCAGGAGACGTATTGTCCCAGGAAAGTCTGCAGTCAGAAACCCATCCAAATTATTGAGGAGCAATAATATCTGTTTGAAGACTAAGGTGCAACTGGTTCAGACCATGGTCTTTTCAATCACTTGCTATGCATCTGGAAGCTGGACAATGAATAGATGACAGAAGAAGAATTGATGCCTTTGAACTGTGGTGTTGGAGAAGAGCATTGAACATCCCATGGACGGCCAGGAGAACAAGCAGATGTCTTAGAGAAGGTACAGCCAGGGTGCTTCCTGGAGGCAAGGATGGCAAAGCTTTGTCTCTCCGATTTTGGGCACGTTGTTAGGAGAGGCTACTCTTTGGAGAATAACATCGTGCTTGGAAAGGAGGGGGTAGTGAAGGAGAGAAAGACCTTCAACCATGTGGCTGGACACAGTGATGGCAGCACTGGGCCCAAGTGTGTGAGACTGTGAGGATGGCATGGGGTGGGCAGGGCTCAGCTCTATGCTCACAAGGTTGCTATTACTGGTACTGGACTTGACAGCACCTAACAACAAGTCCTGTAGCTGCACAGAGACGACACCTGTGGACCTGGATGTGTGCTTCTTAGGAGCAGGACATAGCCAGACTTAGTTCCGTTCACCTCAGGGCACATGGTACCAGCCCATTCACCTTTGTGTATGGAAGGGGCACCAGTCAGGGACGAGTACCTGAGCCTTGGCACATTTTCTGCTGTTCATCATCTGATGCAATTTCAACTTGAGAAACAGCAGTTTAAAAATCAGGGTGAACAGGAAAAGTCGAAATAAGATAAAGATATTTGAAAAGAAAAGTAATTTCTAGTGGTCACTCTTGAGCCTCTAGCAAAGAATCTTTTCTTCTGAGTGAGTTTGGGATGAGAAAGAGAAAATGGATTTCTCTTCTCAAGCAAAGGCCATAACAGCTTCCAGCAGCATCAACCTCCTCCTCAACCAAAAGCAGCTAATCCCTCTGTTAATGGAATGCAGTCCTCTCCCGAACCTTCTCCACATTAGATGGAGGAGAGCCAGGTGCAGTGAGGGGCTGCCACTGTGTGACGGGAGCGGGAGGACCCGTCCTGGAAGATGCTTCCTCATGCACCTGGAGCTTCTGGGAGGAAACAGAGCTACCAGGTAACACCACCAAGGATGGCGGATGCAGAGGGGGAGCCTGGATTGGTAACTGTGAGTCAGAGGCATGCTATTACCTCGTAAAGGTGGTATTTTTTTCAGAAGCTCAAGACAAACAGCATGACTTGTAAAGCTATTATGATCCAACTATGTCTTGGGAAAACGTGGTCAAACTCTTAATTCTGATACAAGCAGCATAGAGAGGAGAGTCTGGTTTCCTTCCCGACATCAGGAAGAGAGGAGAGTCTGGTTTCCTTCCCGACATCAGGAAGAGAGGAGAGTTCGGTTTCCTTCCCGACAGCACTGGCTGCCTGGAATTGCTGAAGGAGCAGCAAAGGAAAGGGCAACACTGCCAGCTGGTGCCAGGACGGAAAATGAAGCAGGCAGGAACGGCTCAGGCCGCCAGGCCAGCACAGACAGGACAGGAATTCGTGGCTTTCAAGGCACCCCTCTCCTGGAATTCTCAGGCATACACTCTGTCTGCCACGAAGCCGACCTTTTCAGGCCAACAACTAGTGCTAGTGCTGTTTGGTGCCAGAATGAGGGGGCGGGGGGAATGTCATTCAGCAGAAGAAACACAGTGAGTCCTAGAAGTGAGGATGGGGGACTTCGTCTCATGTACTTTGGGCACATCACCCGGAGGGTCCAGTTCCTGGAGGACTTCACACTTGTAGAGGGTCAGCAAGAGAGAGGGAGACCCTCAGTGAGATGGATGACACGGGAGCTGCAACAGAAGAATCAACCATATTAAGAACTGTGTGGACGGAGGACCGGGCAGTGCCCTGAGCTGTCGTACGCAGGGGCTGCAGGACTCGGGGCCAGTGGGCTCCAGCGTGTCAGGGACTGTGAGGACGGAGGACCAGGCAGTGCCCTGAGCTGTCGTACGCAGGGGCTGCAGGACTCGGGGCCAGTGGGCTCCAGCGTGTCAGGGACTGTGAGGACGGAGGACCAGGCAGTGGCCTGAGCTGTCGTACGCAGGGACACTAGGACTCAGGGCCAGTGGGCTCGAGCGTGTCACAGGACAGGACAGCACTCAAGTCTGTCGTTCACAGGGTCACCATGAGTCATACTCTACTTGGCAGCATCGAACAACAACAGTGACAACTTAACACAATTCAGTCCTGCTTGCTGAGACTGCAGAGGACGTGGTGACACAGCGGAGCTATCTGGATGACTCAGAGAACTAGGTTCCACAAAGGATCGTTAATTACCTGACAGTTGGGAAAACACCCTCCGCCATCAAGTCAGCTCCAAATGACAGCTGCACTGAGAGGCAGAGCTGACCTGCCCCGTGGTGTCTCCAAAGCTCGAGTCCTCACGGAAGCACACCGCCTCGTCTTGCTCCTGCACAGCTGCTGGTGGGCTCAAACCACCGACCTTCAGGGTTGAGCCAAGTGCTTTAGCCCCTGTACCACCAGGGCTCACCCACTGCTGTCAGGTTGACTCTGACTCCCAGTGACCCACTTACAGAACAGAACTGCACAGAGTGCTGCCAAGACGTAGTCTTCATGGGAAGAAGCACGGTAGGCATGGGGGTACAGTAGGGGGGCCTTGCTAATTCAAAGGCAGGTTGGTGGGTCAGATCCTCCACCTGCCCGACGGGCACAGACGGATGAAAGGGGCCCTGGCAGCACGGTGCATTCCATGGAGGACTGCTAATCAAAGGCAGGTCGGTGGTTCAAAGCCACTACCTGCTCCACAGACACAGATGGACCCTGGCGGCACAGAGCACCATGTGAGGGGGGGCTGCTAATCAAAGGCAGGTCGGTGGTTCAAAACCACTACCTGCTCCACAGACACAGATGGACCCTGGTAGCACAGAGCACCATGTAGGGGGGGAGCTGCTAATCAAAGGCAGGTCAGTGGCTCGGACTCACCACCGGCTTCATGGACAAAGACGGACGCTTGCTGTCCTTAGGACAACAGCACTGGAAACTCAGCGGAGGGTCACCATGGGTTGGTCCATTTTTCTCTTAATGGGTTTGAATTGCTGACCCTTCAATCAGCAGTTCATGGCTTAATTACTATATCAGCAGGAGGGTTTATGTCAGGTGTTGTCCTGAATACCACACACTCTCTCTCTCTCTGACCCAGCCCCCCAACTCCCCTAAACCCTCTCAAGATTCCAAGAAGAAAAGTGCTCTCCCTCTCTTCCTTTTCTAGATCAGGAGCTGAGGCCATACTCGAGCCAGGGACGTGGCTGAGCGCAGTCCATGCTCTGTGCTGCCCCTCAGGACCTGGGCGGGGGTGCTGTGCTGTCCTGCGAGATGAAGAGAGCTTAGAGAACAGGCTCCGGAAGCAGCAGTCTGAGTTCTCTTCCGTGAGACCATCCATCCACAGGAGTCCTTTGCTGGTCCCATGAATGCTGCCCATGCACTGGTGGAGGGCCAGGTCAGCGAGTGGGCCTCATGAGGACCTGTGTTGGAAGTCTGGATCAAAGGGCTGAGATGGAGTGCAAGCAGATGGCGTTTGGAAAGACAATAATGTTAGAGAAGAGTCTAGAAGCAAAGCCTCCCTCTCCCTGCAGAGGAAGCGCTCATAGGCACGGACCGAGCACACCTGGAGCTCGTACAGTGACACCAATCTGCTCAGTCCTTAGCACGCACTGCCTCTTCTCAGGAGGATTGCCTCCTGGCTTCTGAAGAGTGTCTATACTCTGCTAAGCTTATACTCTTCAGAAGGTCAAGGACTGCAGCCTTCAATATGGACTGAAGCTCAGCATCAAGAAAACAAAGATTCTCACCACTGGGCCGATTGGCAGCATTATGATAGATGGTGAAGAGACTGAGATTTTTGACAGCTTTAGTTTGCTTGGCTCCACAATCAACACTCTTGGTACCAACAGCTAGGAAATCAAAAGATGAATTGCATTGGGAAAGTCTGCTGTCAGAGACCTCTCCAGAGAACTGAAGAGCAACAAGTCTGGAGACTAAGGTGTGCCTGATCCAGGCCATAGTCTTTGTAATTACTTGCTATGTATCAGAAAGATGGACAATGACTAGGGATGATAGAAAGAGAATAGATTCCTTTGAGCTGTGGTGTTGAAGAAGAGTACTGAATATACCATGAACTACCAGGAGAACAAACAGGTTCGTCCTCGAGAGGGTGAAGCCAGGCTGCTCCTTGGAGGCAAGGATTCTGAGGCTTCGTCTGACATATTTCTGACATGTTGTAAGGAGGGACCAGTCTTTGGAGAGGGACATCATGCTTGGGAAGATGGAGTGACAGCATGAGAGAGGAAGACCCTTGATGAAATGGATTGATTCAGTGACTGGGGTAATGGGGGTAGGTGTATCAGAGACAATAAGGTTGGCACAAGATAGAGCAGGGTTCAGAGCTGTTGTACACAGGGTTGCTCTAAGTCACAAGGGACTCAACAACACATAAAAACAACAACAGCAAAGCTGATAGAGGAGTTTACTGCTCCCTATCTTTTTAAAACCTTGCTCTTCTCAGGAGAAAGAAAACCAAATTGTTCTAATATCAATTTTAAGAAAGATGGAGACTGGCAACCTTTCGTACCTCTGGTCAACTGCTGGGCATTTAACAAAGAAACTGCCTGGAGAGGCAAGAATTTGGCTTCAGAGCTGAACCCTAAATGATCCTTCACAGAATCAGCACAAGCAAATGCTTCCAGAGAGCTCTTGTGCCAGCCTCGTTCTCCGTGGGCCCTGTGAGGAAGTAAAGCCCAACACGCACAATCTGCGTTCCGGCCATACGGGTGGGAGCACGCCAGAGCACGCCATTGTTCCAAGGAGAAAAAGAACACCGTGTGAACTTACCACAGCCTCGGAGGTGGACGGGTGCTTCTGCAGCGCCGTTCCGGGGAGAGTCTTCTTCCCACAAAGCAGGTGCAGCTTTAACTTGCCGAAGAGAATCTTCAGTGGAAGCAAACGGTACATGAGGAGGGATTTCCAGATGGAGAGAAAGCAAATGTTACGATCACAGAGTTAAAGCCACCAGCCGATGAAGACTCCTGGCTGGACATTACAGCGTGCTTACATTATGACTTTGTGGGGTTTATTCATTTAACACGTTGCCACACACTTTTGCATTTATGACCATGGTTTTAGAAACACTTCCCTCCCCCTCCCCCCCCATGTATTCCGGTCATTTGCAGCAATGTGTTAAAAGTTGTGAAGTTATGCATCTCAGTGAACTCATTCCTTGTGAGAGTATGGACTTGTAGACTTTCCAGATAATCAACATAAAATGATAGTTGCAAAATTAGAATACAATCTCCCTATATAAAGAGTCAAAATTTCACTTCACCTCACGGAGCTGACTGTTACTCGTTACGAGAAACTGTTCTCCAGCCACGAAATGAGCTTCTTGTTCCAATTCCTTGAGACGAGACTGTGAACGTGATGACCATAATCTCATTAGTTAAGCAATCTCCAGGGCTTACTCTGTTCATCAGATAAGTCCCAGCACAATAAAAGCACATAATGAAATGAAGTTAATCTACAATTCACCAAAATGGATACTCAGAATTAAAAATACACAACAGGGGCTACACTTGGGAGTGCTCCTTGGAGGCAAAGATGATAAAGCTCCATCTCACGTATCCCTGCATGTTGCTAGGGGAGGGCATTCCTTGGAGAGGGCCCTCATGTTTGGAAAGATAGAGCATCAGCCAAAGAGAAGGAGACCCTCAATCAGGCGCATTGACACAGTGACTGAAGCAACAGTCTTCACTGGGAGGACGGCACAGGATAGGTCAGAGTTCAGATCCGTTGTTCACGGGGTCGCTCTGCGTCATTCTTGACTCAACAGCACCTAACAACAGGCTCATTTGATCCCTTCCCTCAAACCAAAGATGACAATATGAAGGCAGTAAAGACAGAAATACTACTCTAAAAGGAGAGAGGGGGAAATAGACTATCCAACACACTCTGGAAAAGGAGCCCACTGTTCACTACAAACCTTGAAACTTGCCAAGATGTCCCCGGGCAGCAGTCAGGGCCACGCTGGGTGGTGACCACAAAGCCGATGCGGTGGTACTCCCACTGCTCAGAGAGAGCGGTTCTCAGGGGACAAGAAGTGGACAGGGTTCAGAACACAGCTGGGGTCGAGGGTGGGGAGGTGAAGATGACCCGTTGCAGGAGGGCTCCTTACCGTGCTGGCCAACACAGGGCTGAGCAGAATGGGGACCTTGGGCCACTGGCCTTCCTTCCATTCCACTCTGGGTGGGAGAGAGGTGGCGTAAGAGCAGGACTTTTAAAAGATGGTCATCCGTGTGGTATTGGCCCAGCGAGAGAGCTCGGAAGGCAGGAAGGGATGGGCTAGAAGGATGACTTGAAACAAGAATTGAAACAGTGCTGAGGCAGGAAGAGTGCAGCTATGAGTACTGTAATTACTGAAGGCAGAGAATACAAGACCAATGTCTATCTATGTTTATTGACTATTCAAAGGCATTTGATTCTGTGGATCACAAAAAGTGAGGCTAACATTGAGAAGAATGAAAATCCCAGAACTCATAATTGTGCTCATGCAAAACCTATTCCTACACCAAGAAGCTGTTTCCTGAACAGAGCAGAGAACACTACTACGTGGTTTTAAATTAAGAAAGATGTGTGTCAGGGTTGTATCTTATCTCCATACTTATTCCATGTGTATGATGAGCAAATTCTTCTCTATGAAAAAGAATGTGGAATCAGGATTGAGGAAGACTCAACAATAGGTTGTGTTCTGCAGATAACACAAACTTGCTTGTTCAAAGTGAGGAGGACTTGAAGCACTTGCTGCAGAAGATCAAGACTACAGGCTTCAATATGGATTGCATCTCAACATCAAGAGGACAAAAATCTTCATCACTGTACTTATAAGCAGATTATGATAGATGGATAAAAGACTGAAATTGTCAACAACTTCAATTTACATGGAATCCACAATCAACACCCTTGGTACCAGCAGTCAAGAAATCCAAAGACGTGTGGAATTGAGAAAATTTGCTGTCAACAACCTCTCCAAAGTGCTAAAGAGTAACAATGCCAGTTTAAAAGCTAAGGTGGCACTTCAACGATTTAGATCCTCCCAGAAGAGCTGTGGGTGAGCATTAACATTACTGGTAAGTATATTAGTTTTCTCCTGGACACAAGAGCCTACTATTTGGTCCTAAAAGCCTTCTGAGGTCCCAACTCTTCTCATTATTTCTTAGTTGTTGGAACTGACAGAAAACCTCATAAGCAGTTCCTTACTTCACCTCTGCTTTGCATGCGGACTTCCAAGTTATAAAACAACCCACTGGTAGATGGAACTTGCTCCAGGACTTAGGAACAATAAATGACATAGTTGAGCCTCTACATCTTGTGGTTCCTAACCTTTATACTATAATAGACAAAGTGCTAGTCAATAGGCCTTTTATTTTAAGAATTACCTTCCCTCTGTAACTTGATTTGTGCCACTATTAGAGCCTCTACTTGGAATATTATTGCTTTTTAATTTAACTTGCTAGTTAAATTTGTGTCTTCTAGGCTGCAACACTTCCATGATACATCTTCAAGAATATGAACATGTACAACTAAGCACAAGTGATAACAGTGCATCTAAATTCCAAAATCAATCTCCACAATAGCCTATGTTTTTCCTATTGCCAAAGGGGCCCTTTAGAGTAGTGAGAGAAGATCTTCACCCTGAAACCTACTGTGTCCCTTCTCAGCAGGAAGTAGCTAAGAGAATACACTGTCCCCTTTTCCTTATGAATCAAGGTGAAGTCTCTCTCAGGGAAGAGTGATAGAGAATGGCAAAGGACACACTAATGAGGGAAGCTGAATATCAAATTTACTAACAGTAGACCAAATACTGTATCAGGAAATGAGGGAGGCTTAATACAAGCTGAAGGTCACCTTGTGGCACTAAGGTGTTCCCTAAGAGTCAACATTGTTCTTAGTTTGTAGCAACTGAATCCCTCCCTCCTGAGATTAGATAAAGAGGAACTTAGCCTTATCTGTAAAAGACTTCACCATTATCCTTTGGTTTTGTTTTATACTTCCTTATGATTTTACTTTGTTCACCTTCCTTATGATTCTAAAGAAATACTCAGAGAAGCATGGCTCGGGGCCTTCAGTCATGGGAACTGTTGGCCCCCTGTTTTTCACACTCTCTGTTCTATATCATTCCTGGTAATCTGGTTCATTATTAATAATTATAAAAATACTTTACCCTCGGTCTGCAACACACTAACAAAGGAAATTAATCAGAACTGGCTTTGACAAGCACTGTGGCAATTGGACAATTAAAACAGACTTTCAAGGGGGAAGAAAAAGGAACCAACTGGGGGGGAGGGTAGAGAAAATGGTGCAACAATAAATGAATGGAAACCCAAAATATCTGTAAATGTTCATTAAAATTAATAAAATTTAATAATAATTTAAAATAATGTGGAATGTTTCAAATAAAGTAATAAAAATTTAAAAAAGCTATGGTTTTTGCTCGGCTCCACTGTCAACACTCTAGGCACCAGTAGCGAGGAAATCAAAAAACGTATTGCGATGGGAAAGTCTGCAGTCAGGGACCTCTCTCAAGTACTCAAGAGCAATGGTGTCTCTCTGGAGACTAAGGTGCACCTGATACAGGCCATGGTCTTTGCAATCACTTGTTATGCATCAGAGAGTTGGACAATGACTAGGGAGGATAGAAGGAGAACTGACGCCTTTAGGCTGTGGTGCTGGAGAAGAGTATTGAATGTACCATGGACTGCCAAGAAAACAAACAGATTCATCCTAGAGAGGGTTAAACCAGGCTGCTCCTTGGAGGTAAGGATTCTGGGGCTTCGCCTGACATACTTTGGACATGTTGTAAGGAGAGACAGGTCTTTAGAAAGGGACATCATGCTGGATAGAGTAGAGGGACAGCACAGGAGGGGAAGACCCTGTATGAGGTGGATTGATTCAGTGACTGGGGTAATCGGGATAGGTGTGTCAGAGGCAATGAGATTGGCACAGGATAGAGCAGGGTTTAGGGTTGTTGTACATAGGGTCACTATGAGTCACAAATGACTCGACGGCACATAACAACAACAACAACAACATGGTGAACAACAACACAATAATCATGAAAAGAAATATATGACTAGTAAGTGAAAAAAAAAAAGGCTAAGTTGTACTTTAAACATGGAAGAACAGACTGGATGATAGATTATTGCACCAAGATCAGAAAGGTGTAAATGCCAGTGAGCCTGAGCCAGAGCTGCACCTGCTGCTCCGGGCTGTAGGAGCCGCTGCAGCACCTCAGCCTCCAAATCAGCTCTGACTGCTGGAACCTCCAACAAGGGGCCTCTGCTGTTTGCACTGGTGCTAGTGTGCCTGCGAGAAGCCACAGATGTTTCCTCGCCCCTAACACTACAGCTATGGCAGAAAAGTGCTGCCACTTTACAAAGCAAGCACAAGACACTGTTTCCCCTTCTTAAATTTTCCCAGGTGCCAGCTAGTTAGTTAGGAAGGTGCAGTAGCAGCTTAAAGTGCCCACTACAGAAGTACAGACTAACGTGTGAAAGGCATAGGGCAATGTGAGCTCACATGAAGCCATGGTCTTCTCAAGTACCTGCCTGCTGGACAGTGAAGAAGGATGGCAGAAGACAGACAAGTCTGTCCTGGACAAAGTGCAAGCTGGGTGCTCCTCAGAGGCAAGGATGGCGAAGCTCATCTCACATACTTTGGGCATGTTGTTAGGAAGGGCCAGTCCTGGAAAAAGGCATCATGCTTGGAAAAGTAGGTAAAGGGTCTGTGTGAGAAAGGAAGACCCTTGCGTGTCAAGATGAACCAACATAGTGACTGTAACAACGGGTTTAGGTCTATTAGCGACGTAGAAAAAGCACGCGGGGCAGGGTTCATACATAGCTTACTCAACAGCACATAACAACAACAGTGCAATTAATGTCATAAAATGTGTATGAATGGGTGGAAAGAAACCCAGCTTACTCTGTAAAATCACAATTAAAAAGGCAGAAACCACAGAAAAGTGATCAAGGAGATGATACTGTGGAGAACGTCTTCACTGAACTCTTCAGAAGATGGAAAGAGCCTTGGACTGAATTTCTGAAAGGGATTTAACAAAGAGTCCACAGAAATGAGGGGAGGGAAGCTAATTTGGAACCGTGGTGCTGGTTTGGGCTGGCTGTTTTGGTTTTTTGTTGTTTGCTTGTTCGGTGGTACGCTATTGTCCAATCCATCCTGACTGAGCCCGGAGCCTGCGGGCCACAGACCTGCTCCACAGCATCCGACGCCATGGGATTCTGGAAGCACGTGGCCAGAGGTGCCTCTGGACGGGTTCAAACTGCCAAGATTGTGGTTAACAGTCAAGCGTCACCTAAGAACTCCTCAGGCAGCTCTGGAGGCTTAGTGGTAAGAAGTTGTGCTGTCAACCCAAAGGCACCCAGTTCAAATCCACCACCTGCTCCTCAGGAGAAGGCTGGGCAATCCCCTCCTGTGTGATTCGCTGCCTCTGAAAACCTGCAGAGGGTCCACTTTGAGCCGGTTCCTACTCAATGGTACAACAACAAGCACTCCTTACAAAAGGACTGCATAAGGCAAAAGAAAAAAGCCTACAATCACCTGAGTCAAAATACACCAAAAGTCTCATCACAGAAGCACTAAGAATCATGGAAACTGAAGAACAACCAAACGAACAGCGAACTCTTTGCAGAATAAGTCAAACCTTCAACTAGACCCAAGGCCACCCCCTGCCATCAAGCTGACCCTGAGCCACAGTGAGGTGGCCACACCTTACCCACCACTGAGTCTGTCCCCCTCATGGCAACCGCCTCTGGGTTTCCAAAACTGTAGGTCTTAACAGGAGGCGATCACACATCTTTCTCCACTGGACAGGTCTTGGATTCAAACCACTGACCTTTAGTTGGCAGCCCAACCTGGAAGGCATGATGGCACCTGGACCCCACATCACACATTTGTTGGAGTTGTTGATAGGTACGTGGAGTCAGCTCCAACTCACAGCAAACCCACTAGATGCTGTAACATCCACAGAATGAAACCCACTAGATGCTGTGACATCCTGGTGCTCTTAAACCCCTCACTGCAGCAACAATAAACGAATATTTTTTTTTTTTTAAAAGGAAAGTGAATTGGGGAAGGGGGATAAAATGCACAACAATGAATGAATGAAAATCTAACTTCTCTGTAAATGTTCGTTAAAATCACAAATAAAATTTTGTTTTAAAAAGGCAAAACAGAAAATACACCCCTTCACTGCAGCCGCTGGGCTGCCCCCTCCCTCAAGGGCTTCCTCTTTTCCCTGACTCTGCACAGCAGCACTCAACAACTCATGGGGCCCTGGGGGCGTGGTCTGTGGGGAGCTGTGCTGCTAAATGAAAGGTGGCCCCCTTTGGCACTCTGAACACCCCAGCGGCTCCTTGGGAGGAAGATGGGCAATCTCCTCTTGTGCAATTTACAGCCTCCGAAAAACTGCTGGAGGGTCAGCTGTGAATTCATTCCAGCCCAGCGGCAGTGAGCGAGTGAGGAAAACAGCTAAGACAGAGATGGAAGCATGAACTGACCCGTCTATCATTCTGCAATGGGGAGAGCTTTTTAAAGCACAACACAAAAAGCCAGACGACATAAAGGAAAAGATTTCTGAAAACCACTTGGCACTCCCTGCGGGAGCCAAGTCAAAGGGGCAGCACTGGTCCCATCTGTGTGAGGCGTGAGCGGGTGGGCAGGAAGGGGAGCAGCGGGAAGCTCTCTGGGGCAGTCACCACGCCCAGCTCCCCACGCAGGGCAACAACTGACCGTCCAGAGAGTGCGTGTCATCACTTACCCCAAGCACAGCAGACGTCCTCTCCATTTCTTCTTTATTTATCTGAATGCGGTGGCTTTCCATCACTGTGGTTCAAAATCCAACCAGACAATATTTGCATTCCATTAAGAAATTATTTTGTAGTAAAAGACTAAGGCCTAAGAACAACCTCCCTACTTCAGTGTGAACTCTGACAGCAACCAGCTCTCAGCGCCCCTCTCCTGCCAGCCCTGTAGAAGGCCGCTCTGTGTCTACCCCACAGGTAGCCGCTCTGTGTCTACCCCATTCTACAGGACAGCGCAGCGGCTCAGGGAAGCAGCTCTTGCTCTGACCATTCGGTAGGCGGCCAGTATGGCATGTGGGAGACTGGAGGGAGAATCCCTCCACCAGCCAGCTTGGCTGCAGAAGCACTGGGTGAGGCTCTGCTGTCCCATGTTCCCACCAAGACCTGAGGCAGAGTAGGGGGATTGAGTCCTGCAACATTCTTCTAGGGAACCTGCAAAGACACCTTCACTCTCAGGGGGGACAGGATGAGAAATGAGTAACTGGCACACATCCGGAGTCCCCGTCTCCTGCCCTGCTGCTGTTCAGGGTGTAGGAGCTGAAGTGGTATTTGCCCCCCAGCCAGAACACCCACTGACCCACACACTGTAGAAGGGATCTCGTACAACTGGAGTGCCAGAAACTTCTAGACCCCGAGAGAGGACACAGTACTGCCCAAATTGTGTGACAGAAAGCTCACTACTCCGGGAAATACAGTAAAACCCATGACAGCTAGAATTTATATGAGGCAGGAACCTGCCAGGGAAGAAAAATTTAAGTATGTTCTCAGACAAGTGACAGAGACTTGGGTAGACAATGCTTTATCAGAGGTGGAAACTTGGGAGGTGTGGAAAAGCCAGGCTGCCCTGGAAGGTCCTAGCTCTAACACATTACACTGTAATGGAAAGGAGAAATGACTCCTCTTAAAAAAAAAAAAGAGAATTCTCTAGAAAAAACCCACTATACTTCATGTTTACTTTACCTGCCAAAATTGGTATCAGTGGAAGCTCCAACGTACAAAAGAGTTGCCATAAACCATACACCTTTAATAGAAGACAAAATCAATGTCACTTTAAAATTTTCTTTCTCTCTGCATTTTGCTGAAAAGCCTAATTTGGGTAAAAGATTTGTGACAATTCTTGCAGGGGACATGGCTGGTCCCCACTCTAGCACACACTCCTCTCTCCCTCCACCCCAACAAAACCCAGCCTCCTTCCAGAGTGTTTTTTTCAAATCCAACTCTATAAAAGCCAAGTTGGAAAAGCCACACCTCTGCTTTTATGCACTCTCTCTCTCATTTTTTTAAATTTTATTAATTTTAATGAACATTTACAGATATTTTGGATTTCCATTCATTCATTGTCACACTTTTTTCTCTATCTCCCCCCCCCAAGTTCACGAACGAATTCTCATTTTTAAGATTGCTTTATGTATTTGAAGACTTCCAGACTTCCATTTCAACTTCTAAATGGGTTTACTGAATTTGTCCAAAATTTAGCTAGAATTTTTATTGGCTTTACACTGACTTGATATTTTGTGGAGGACAGAATCTTTTATTAGGTCATCCCAACCAAGTGCAAGAAAAAAGATCTGCTTCCAATCACCTTCTTCCTAAACCATGCTTATGAGCACTTTTTAAAAAAGTTTATTTTATATTGGTTTGTATCCAAAACTCGTATACATTGTGTTTCCCACTTTGCTTCATTCACACTGTTTCACACAATCATTCCCATCTCACCAGTGTTTTTGTTTTTCTTTCTGAGCCTTGCCCTGTGCTGGTGTACAGCTGAGCTCCCAGGGTTCTGAGTGCCCTGTCTGCATCCCTTCTCCGGCCCCTTGATGGGGGTGTCTGTAACCCCTAGGCCACCTTGCCTGGGCTGCTGTGCCCTGATCTTGCCTGTTGGGAGGTTCTAGAAGGAGACTGCAAGGAGAAGAGGCGAGCAGGTGGGCTTCTCTTCCCTGGCCCTGTGGGTTCCCAGCTGGCAGCCACAGCCTCTGGTGCTGACTCTGCACTCTCCCAGGCCAGTCTGACCTTTGAGTCCAAGGAGGTGAAAGAAAGCATCGGGCTCCACCAGACCCTGTAATACTACACCCCTATCTGCCTCCCTCCTCTGTGTTCACGTCTGTATAGCTCTCCACTCAACTCTTCTCCATTGTCTCTGGGAAGGCTATCTACTTCTCTTTCGGCTCTGACCAAGTTGAGTCACGTCCCTTTTACTACTAACCAAAATATGTGATCAACCTTCACACTAGTGGCAGCTTTAGGGACACTGCAGGTGAAGCAGAGGTTTCATTTTGGAGAGTGGTAGATAGTCGTGGACAACTGTTTTCCTCCAGAGGAAACTCTTCTCTAAAACATGCGAGTTTCTCATTCTGGATTACCTCTGTAAGATGACACGAGAAAACCAGCCCCTCCTGCTGAGCCGGCTCCAGGGTAAACCTTCACTGAGCTTCCCAGGCAGCCAACTTTCAGCTCGATCATTTGTGGAGAACAGAATGGTATTAGTTCCTCCCACCCAAGTGCATGGGGGAGGGGGGAATCTTTCTGCTTACTCCAGTCACCTTCGTCCTAAATGATCTCTATGAGCATTTTAAAAAATGATTTTATATTGGTTTGCGTACACATTTCGTACACATTGTGCTTGACACTTTGCTTCGTTCACATTGTGTTTCACACAATCATCCCCATGTTATGGGCGTTTTTGTCCGTTCTTTCTGAGACAGTCTGCTAGATACGTTGCGCACCACACGCCCAGCGCTGAGTGCAGGGGCTCGCTGGGCCTGAGGCCCAGTGTTCAAAGACGCTGGAGGTACGTGTGCTGCCTGTGAGCATGGCTCAATGGAAAGACGACTAACACGAACGCAGAGAAAGCAAGAAGCTCAGTTAACTAAAAACAATAAGGAAAATGTCTTGCCTTCAGTTGAGAGCACAGGTCCCTCGTAAGTCTGTGGAGTATGTTCAGGTTCACACACACGTTCTGATTCTTTAAAAGATGGAAAGTATTGACGGTTAGGCTGGCGTGGCGGGAACACTCACCACAGTCTAGAAGAGGTATCTCACCACATGCTTCCTAGCTAGATGGAGATCGGTCCCCCCAGGCGAGACACTATGTATCGACAAGCAGGCTCCCAGGTGACAGACAAGGAGCAGACAGAAGGGATGGGATGAGTCCTTCAGGATCTCGGCTCTGATCTCTCACTACTGTGACACAGAGCTTGAGCACACTGCCTTCCCTCTTCGCCTCCTCCAGATGCTGGGCTGGTCTGGCTGCTTCTCTGCTAAAGGCCTCCGATCAGAACTGCCCCCTCCCACACACCATGAACTGACAGCTGACTACACACCTCCCAGCATACGGTTACCAGTATTTCCCTGCTCTTCAATCAGAGGGCTTAGTATGTAGGCTCCCAACGAGTCAGCGACAACTCAACAGCACCTAACAACAACAACAACTCTATGAACAACTCATCGGGAAGAAAACTAGCAGAAGAGGTAAAGAAGCCATAGAAGCTCTTTTCCTGTGCCTCTTAGGAGAATGGCACACATTTCTGGCCAATGACTTAAAAGCAGACCTTCATCTCAGGAAGCCCTTTGGCCCAGGGCGTGGACGCAGGGCAAGCTGTCAGCAGTGCTGGTCAGCTCTTGCCAGGGGACAGGATGTGACAGCTGATGCCATTCTCATCTTATCTCACGTAAGCCAGAAAGAAACTCGGCTTTGAACTCAGAAATCTAACGTGAGAAGCAGAAGTCCTAAAAGTTTATGACTGGGCCTGTAAGCTTGGTCAGGTTTAAGGATTTTGTATCTCTGCTTTCTCATCTGTAAACGTGGACTGATAATATGGACATGGCAGCCCCTCATTTTGGTCCTCTCCCTCTGTTCTGACTCGGGGAGCCGGCCCTCCCTGGAAGCACGGTATCTGGGCAGGGCTGCTCACCACCATGGCCTCCCCTGACCTGCTGTGCTGGTCACTGAACAGTCTACCTGACAAAGCCCCAGTGAAAGAGTAGGTGTTGTGAAGGTATTCTGTAGATGTAATCAACAACCACAATCATATCACTTTATGTAAAGAAGATTATTCCTGACAATGTGAATGGACTTCTTAAGTTGAAGGTCTTAAAAACAGAACTGAGGTTTCCCTCAGGAACATCAGCTCCTGCCAGAGAGGACTTGCTTTTCCAACTTCAACTATGCCTAAGTCGCCTGACAGCTGAAGAAGCAAGTTCTTGTAATCCATTCATCTGTCTATCCATCAATCCATCCATCCACCCATCCATCCCTCCTTTCTTCCTTTTGCCATCCCTGCCTTCTTTCTGTCCATCCATCCATCCATCCATCCATCCATCCATCCATCCATCCATCTTCCCATCCATCCTTCCATCCCACTGGTCCTGTTTCTCTGATGGGACTCCTGACTGAAAACACCAGCTACCAGGGTGGACAAGTGACAAAAGTGAGAGGAATGAGACACTTGCTAAGTGCTGAAAAATCGAATCCTGGATGACACATGGATGAAAAGGGCATGGCTCCCTGTGCATGTCTGGGCTCCTGCTCCGAGTCCTCAGCACTGCCCAGCTCTTGGTCTCCCCAAAGTCTGGTCCCACATGGCTTGGGTTCTGTGAGATACCTCATAGCTTTCTGTTAAATTCTGAACAAAGGCAGGCTAAAGTTCTGTGGTTTACAACCCAAGGCCCCTGACTGGCACAAAAGCTGCCAACACACAGACAGACGCAGAGGGGGCAGTCAGCACTAACTGCTTTTCTCAGGCACCTCCCACCCACTCAGCCCTTCCTCTGTGCTCCTGTTGCATTCTGCATGTTTCTGCAGCACTGACTTCAGTGACACTGTTAATTCACAGCTCAGGGCCCTGAAGCAAACAGGCCTGACTGTAGCCCACACTGCTCCCGTGCGAATGCCTCCCCTGCTCGGTCTGTGTGGGCCTGGTCAGATCTCCTTCACTCAAGCGCCACATGGCTCCAGGAGCTGTGAGTACCCTAATGTCTCACCGTGGTTCCTAATGTGTGGGAGCAGCACCAGTAAGTAAGAACACTTACAGACACACCCAGACACACTCCCGCCAACACATGGGATTCTGAGCAAGCAGTGTTCTGCTCATGAGACTATTCCCAAGAACTACACAAGCAATTAGATCACCGGGGCAGATTTAACAAGAGAATAGGGAAAAAACCTATCCTCAATCCATGTCATTCCCCAAAAGGACAGGGGAAGGGGATGCGAACCAAAGAAACAAAGAGGAGTTATTTCAAAACAATCTACAAAGAAGAAATGGCTCATAGAAAACATTGCGGTTGTGTTAAGTTGAGAAAATTAACTCACCACAGTATTTCCTGATGAATTTCCATATGTGCTGTCTACTTTAATTGTGATGGATTTCCCCAAGTATTTTGCCACTAAATCTTCAAAAGAAGGCATAGCATCACTGGGATCGATAAGCCAGGCAGCTATTCTAGGATCCAACCCTGCAAAATCAGCAACTAAAGAGAACAAGAGTACTTAATAACTTCAAGAACAACGAGGAACTGTATTTTCCCTTGCTTTTACAAAGTTATCAAGGTTAAAATTAATCATGCTACTACTTCTGTACTACCTCAGACTAACAAAGCTCCAGCGTGATCAAACATTAGCCTTCAAGAATTTAGAACTTTTGTAAGAGTGCCTTTACTATTTCATTCTCATGTGAGTGATATTCTTGCAACTCAGAGTAACACTAAAGAAGCATGTTTCAAACAGCCAGAAAAAGGAGCGGGGACTCCTAAGTTGGCTCTCTTAAAATGTTGTTAAAAGGGTAGAATTAATGAGTTTATCAAGGATGCTAGATACAAGATTAAGATACGAAAGTCAACTGTATTTCTATATAATCAGTAGCAATAAACACTATGAAAAATGAAATAAAGAAAATATTATTACAAAACAACCATAAGATACCATTTCACCCCAGCAACAACAGCAAAGTTCAACAGGGCAGCAAACAACACATGCTGCAGAGATTGTGGAGAGATTGAAACTCTTATTCCTGCTGGTGAGAGTGTAAAATGGTAAAGTCACTATGGAAGTCAGTCTGGCACTTTCTCAAAAAGCTGGAAATAGAAATCCCATTTGACTCAGAAATTACACTACTGGGAATATACCCTAAAGATAACAGAGCCATGACAAACTGATGTATGCACACCCATGCTTACTGCTATGTTATTCACTATAGTAAAGGGATGGAAGCAGCCCAAGTGGCCATCAACAAACAGAGAGAAAAATTATGGTACAGTTACACAACACAATGGAATATTACACAGCCTAAAAACCAATGACCTCATAAAACATTATACAACATGGACAAGTTTGGAGGGCTCAGTCACAAAAGGACAAATACTACCCAAAACCATAAAGATCATAACAGACAAAGTGGGACCAAGCATAGAAGGGCTCACCTATAGTTTAAAGAGGCTGACAAATAAAGCCAGAAATACACAAACAAGAGAGGATAAAATTGATAAACGGAACTTTCTAAAGAGTAAATCCTTGTGTGTATCAAAAACTTTTCCCAACAAGGTGAAAAAAAACAACCCCTGTTGTTGTTATGTGCCATTGAGTCGCTTGAGACTCATAGCAACCCTATGTACAAGAGCTCTAAACGCCATTCTATTCTGTGCTAACCTAGCCATCTCAAATGCACTTATTACCACCACTCCACTCACAGAATCGATCCATCTCACCAAAGGTCTTCCTCTCCTTCGCTGCCTCTCCACTCTGCCAAACATGATGTCCCTTTCCAAGGACCAGTCCCTCCTGCAACATGCCCAAAGTATGTCAGATGAAGCTTCAGAATCCTTGACTCCAAGGAACATTCTGGATTCACCTTCTCCAGGACAAACCTGTTTGTTCTCCGAGCAGTCCCTGGTACATTCAACACTATTCTCCAGCACCACAGCTCAAAGGCATCAATTATCTTTCTATCATCCCTATTCACTGTCCAACTCTCTGGTGCATAGCATGTAATTGCGAAGACTATAGCCTGGATCGGGCACTTCTTAATCTCCAGCCTGATGTCGTTGCCCTTCAGTACTCTTGAGAGGTCCCTCACAGCCGACTTTCCCAACGCAATTCATCTCTTGATTTCCTGGCTGCTGTTACCAAGACTGTGGAGCCAAGCAAACTAAAACTGTTAACTATCTCAATCTCTTCATCATCCATACTGATGCTGCCAATTGGCCCAGTGGTGAGAATCTTTGTTTTCTTGATGTTGAGCTTCAATCCATATAGGAGGCTGCAGTCCTTGACCTTCTGAAGCAAGCGCTTCAGGTTCTCCTCAGTTTCAGCAAGCAGGGTTGTGTCATCTGCATTATGCAGGTTGTTGATGACTCTTCCACCAATCCTGATGCCACATTCCTCTTCGTACAGCCCAGCGTCTCGGATGATCTGTTCTGCATACAGATTGAAAAGGTATGGAGACAGAATACCCCCTGATGGACCCCCTTTTTTATTTTGAACCATGTAGTGTCTCTTTGCTCTGTTCTGATGACTGCCTCTTGGTCCAAGCATAGATTTCGCATTAGCATGATCAAATGTTCTGGGATTCCCATTCTTCTCAGAGTCAGCCACAGCTTGTTGTGAGCCACACAGTCAAAAGCCTTTGCATAGTCAATGAAGCAAAAATAGACATTCTTCTGGTATTCTTTGCTTTCTGCCAAGATCCATCTAACATTAGCTATAATATCCTTAGTACCACGACCTCTTTTAAATCCAGTCTGCACATCTGGCAGTTCTCTGTTGACATATTGTTCCAAATGTTTTTGGATAATTTTCAACAGAATCTTGCTTGCATGTGATATTAATGATATTGTTCGATAATTCCCGCACTCTGTTGGGTCACCTTTCTTTGGAATGGGAACAAATATCGATCTCTTCCAGTCAGTTGGCCAGCTGGCTGTTCTCCAGATTTCTTGGCACAACTTAGTGAGCACATCCAGGGCAGTGTCTGTTGAAATATTTCAATTGGTATGCCATCAACTCCTGAAGTCTTATTTTTTGCCAATTCCTTCAGAGCAATTTGAACCTCCTCCTTCATCACCATAGGCTCTTGCTCATATGTTATTTCACTAAATTCTTGTGTCATCCAATTCCTTCTGATACAGTGATTCTGTGTACTCCTTCTACCTTCTCTTGAAACTTCCTGGATCATTTAACATTCTACCCAAAGTGTCCTTAAGTATTGCCATCCGTGGCTTGAATTTGTTTATCAACTCCTTCAGCTTAAGAAATGCTGAGCGAGTCCAGCCCTTTTGATTTTCTGACTCCAGCTCTCTGCACATTTCATTATAGTATCTTGCTTTGTCGTCCCGAGCTGCCTTTTGAAATTTTCTGTTCAGCTATTTGATTTCTTGGTTTCTCCCTTTAGCTTTGGCTTCTTGGAGCTCTAACGCAATACTCAGAGTCTCATTTGACCTCCATCTTTGTCTTTTCTTCTTTTTCAGCCTTTGTAATGATCTTTTGCATTCTTCATGGACGATTTTCTTTATATCCTCCCAGAGCTCATTTGGTCCATGCTCATTGGTTCTCAAGGGCTCAAACCTGTTCCTGAGATGGTTTTGAAATTAGAGTGGGACAGACTTAAGGTCAAATTTTGGTTCCCATGGACTTGATTTAATTTTCCTCAACTTCAGCTTGAACTTTCATATGAGTAGTTGGTGGTCTGTCCCACAATCGGCACCCGGCCTGGTTTTCACTGCTGATATTGAGCTTCTCCACCGCGCCTTTCCACAAATGTAATCTATTTTATTTCTATGCATACCATCAGGTGAGATCCAGGTGTATAGCCTACATTTATGTTTCTTACAAAAGGTATTTGCAATGAATAAATCTTTGAATGTGCAGAACTCTACCATTCTATTTCCAGCCTCATTTCTCTCACTGAGTCCGTGTTTTCCATCTACTGATCCTTCTTCCCTGTTCCCCACCTTTGCACTCCAATCGCCCATTATTATCAATAGGCCATCAATTACTCATGTGCAAGTTCAAATTGAAGCTAAAGAAAATTAAAACAAGTCCACTAGAGCCAAAATATGATCTTGAATCTATTACACCTGAATTTACAAATAACTTGAGAATAGGTTTGAAGTATTGAATGTCAATGATGAAAGACCAGAGGAGTTGCGGGAGGACAAAAAGGTTATCACCCATGAAGAGAGCAAAAGATCACTAAAAAACCCCAAAATGTATGTCAGAAGAGACCCTGAAAATCACAGTAGAGCACTGAGGAACCAAAACAAAGGGAAGACATGTTGAAATAAAAGAGCTGAACAGAAGATTTGAAAAGGTAGTTCAGGTAGACAAGACAGACTACCATAACAGAATCTAAAAGACGTAAAAATGGAGAATTACAAGGTAAGAACTCATCAGCATTCCTCAAGCTGAAAGAACTGAAAAACAAATTCAAGCCTTGAGTTGCAATACTTATTAGAGATTGTTGTTATTATGTGTCTTCAAGTCACCTGTGACCCATAGCGATCCTATGTACAGCAGCTCTGAAGCCTGCCCTGTCCTGAGCCAGTCTCACTAATTCCAACACACCAACCCCCACTGTCCCAGTTATTGTATCAATGCATCTCATTTGGGGTCTTCCTCTCCTGTGCTGTCCCTAACCCTCACCCTAACCCTCCACCCTTTTGACCATGATATTCTACTCCAAGGACTGGTCTCTCCTGCCCATGTGCCCAAAGTATGTGAGACGAAGCTTCAAAATCCTAGTCTCCAAGGAGAGACTTGGTTTCATCCTATCCAAGACAAATCTATTTGGGTTTTTTGGTGGTCCATGGTATTTTCAAAACTCTTTGCTATGGGCAAAATCTTGAATGATAAGGGAAACATCAAAAGAAGATGAAGGGAATACTATATCAAAAGTGCTGAAATATTTCCGAAACTACCATAAGATCAAGAGCCAATGGTAATGAAGGAAGAAATTCAAGCAGCACTGAAGACAATGCCAAAAAATAAGGCTCCAGGATTCGATGGGATAGCAACGGAAATATTTCAAATGACAAATGCAGCCTTGTATGTGCTTATCAGTCTATGCCAGGAAATTTGGAGGACAGCTGCCTGGTTGACTGAGTGGAAGAGATCCATGTTTGTTCCCATTCCCAAGAAAGGTGATCCAACAGAATATGGAAATTATAGGACAATATCACTAATGCTGCATGTAAGCAAAATACTACTGAAGATCCTTCAAAAACAGCTAGAATAGTACATAGAGAACTTCCAGAAGTTCAAGCTGGATTTATAAGAGTCTGTGGAGCCAGAGATATCGTTGCTGATGTCAGACGGATCCTGGCTGATAGCAAAGAATAACAGAAGAATGTATTTATGCTTTATTGACTATGTAAAGGCATTTGGCTGCGTGGATAACAAATTATGGTTAATAATGAGTAGAAAGGGAATTGCAGAACACTTAATTGTTCTCGGAAACCTATACCTAAACCAAGAGGCT